TATTTTAATATTTTTAAATATGATGATAGGACTCCATTCAGAGTTCTGTAGGCTCTTTTGAACTGAGTATCTTAGACTGATCCCAGATTACAAGGTAAATTTGAAAGCTAGTCAACTTTAAAAGTATACTAAATGCACATATATGTACTGTCCTTGACATAGAATCACAGAATTGTTTACGTTGGAAAAGACCTTTAAGATCATGAAGTCCAACCGTTAACCTAACACTACCAAGTCCACTACTAAACCAATTTAGGGTAGAGTAATAATTTCATGTTTCCTGGCTTGGTGGCTGGATTATTTTTTAATGAAAGTAAAACTAGGAATCATTAAGGTTGGAAAGGATCTCTAAGATCATCAGTCCAACACCATCATCATGCCCACTAAACCATGTCCCAGAGTGCCACGTCTACACTTTTTTTGAACACGCATGATCTTGAAGTGCAAGAAGGAGTCAAACCCTGAGAATCAGACTCTTCTGAGATGGGAACAAATTCTAAGTTCACACTACATTGCCTATCTCTCTTTACTATAAAAGCAATAAAAGCAAGCAGATATAATACAGATCACTCCAGATGGAGGAAACGGGATCTACAACTTGAGTCTCAGAAAAATCAAGCCCAAGAACAAGCCCAATAGAATCTTCTTAAAAGTTACCACTGTTGGAGTTCGAGCCCCATGTCCCAGCAGGCCTAAACATGGAAGTCTACTTTGGGGCAGATACATTACAATCTACCCCATGACAACAAAAATTAACAGCAGCTTTAACAAGAAAGATACAATCTGAATGCCTCTGTAAACTAATATCAACAAAAAAAGTTAACACAGTGAAACCCCTAACAAGGGGTACAATGCTTTATGGATTCTTACACAGCGTATGTTTTGCTGGTAGCTTTGACTCCTCCAACAGAGATTCTTCTGACGATCACTGATGAGTTCTTAGGAATCAGGGCGTTACCATCTGTGTATTCTGAAAACAGCACAAATACAGAAAAAAAAAAAAACAAAAAAACAAAAAACAGGAAAGGAAAACAAAAAAGGGATTTACAGCTACCTTAAAGAGCAAATGAACCACAGAATGCTTTGGATTGGAAGGGACCTTAAAGATCATCTATTTCCAACCCCTCTGCCACGGGCAGGGACACCTTCCTCTAGACCAGGTTGCTTGAAGCCTCATCCAGCCTGGCCTTTCACAGTGCCAGGGAGGGAGCATCCACAGCTTCTCTGGGCAACCTCTTCCAACATCTCAGCACCCTCACAGTAAAGAATTTCTTCCTAATACCTGATCTAATTCTACCATCTTTCACTTTAAAGCTGTTACCCTTTGCCCTATCACTACACTCCCTGACAAAGAGTGCCTCCCCACCTTTCCTGTGGGCCCCCTTTAAGTACTGGAAGGCTGCTATAGGGTCTCCCCAGAGCCTTCTCTTCTCCAGGCTGAACAACCCCAACTATCTCAGCCTGTCCTTGTAGGGGAGGTGCTCCAACCCCCTGATCATCTTTGTGGCCTTCCTCTGGACTTGCTCCAACAGGTCCATGTCCTTCTTGTGCTGGGGGCCCCAGAGCTGGATGCAGTGCTCCAGGTGGGGTCTCACCAGAGCAGAGTAGAGGGGCAGAATCACCTCCCTCGACCTGCTGGTCGCACTTCTTTTGATGCAGCCCAGGATATGGTTGGCTTTGTGGGTCCTTAGCACACATTGCTGGCTCATACGCAGTTTTTCATCCACCAATACCCCAAGTCTTTTTCCACTGGGCTGCTCTCAATCCACTCATCACCCAGCCTGTATCAATGTTTGGGATTGCCCCAACCCATGTGCAGGACCTTGCACTTGGCCTTGTTGAACTCCATGAGGTTCACACGGGCCCACCTCTCCAGCCTGTCAAGGTCCCTCTGGATGGCATCCCTTCCCTCTAAGAGTGTTAACCACACCACTCAGCATGGTGTCATGAATTATGCATCACTGTTACTTAAAGTGGTGAGATAAATTCTTTATTGGGTAAATGTAAAGGTGTCTAAGACAATGTGGGCAGCACCCTGAAAGGGGGGAAATGTCTTTCAGAGTGTATCTACTTTATTTCTGTGGACATTTGGCTGCCTGTGCTAAATTTCCTGGACCCATATTCTAATATATAAACTGCGTAACTGTCTTTTAATTTTAACCCATTGTAATTTGCTCTATTTCATTTTGTTGTCTTAGCTATCTCAGTGCTTGAAAACTTAATCGTGTAGTCGTATGTATTCATCTAAAAGGACACAAGTCTACAGTGTCTTTGTGAACTCCTCTCATTTCCTTCACAAATCATACTTCCCAGCATTCAGCATTTAACAGTTTTAATGCAGTTCATAAGTTCTTAGTATTCTCTTAAATAAATAGCATGTTACATATCTTGGGATGTCTACAGACAATACGGTTTTGTTTTAATGTTTACAGGTGTCGAACAGAGTACGAAAACAGAGATGAAGCTACCAAAGGAGATGAGACTACTCGAAAACAATTTCATGCCTTTGTGCTCTTTTTAGCTGAACTTTACCTTAACCTAGAGGTAAGGAGAAAGTTGCATGTCAAGTGGTTCTTCATTAATTTTTTGTTGTGTTTGGGTAAACACTGAAATGCAGTATATATAATTTGAGGTGTTTTTCTAAAAGGAGAGGGGACTAAAGTAAAAGAACTTTAGAACAGTTTCATTATAATGTGTGTCCAAGAAACAGATAAACAAAAAAGGGCACTAGAAGTGTATAAAGGTTATTAAAAAAAAAAAAGTTTAGGAATTCATAAAAAGAACCAACCATAAACCACTGTTGGAACGAAGCTTTTGGTATCTTCTTTTGCCTGGCAAAACCCCCAGATGACTACACTTAACCAACGTAGGAAATGTTACAACCTAGCAGAAGCAGACTGGGATCAATAACCCATGTAACTCAGCATTCAGCCACTAATAGGAGCTATTATCAAACACTTGAGGAAGATTTGGAAATCCTCAAAATGAGCAATTAAAAATGCAGACCTTTAAAGATACTTCTTCTGAAGGTTGAGTCCTTGGCTTCTGCATGAAGCTTGAAATCTTGTATTTAGATTGGGGGTTTTTGTGTCTGTGATAGGTACAAAAAAGTGTACGTACATGCAAAACTTCTTTGACTCTTGCACCTGTGAGTTCGGTAAGTTCACTAACAGCTTTAGTGTACTTAATGTATTTTTGACTGGATTATTTCAATGGTTTGATTTAAGCAGACACTATAAAAATGTTCCGCTTACATGAGGAAAGAAAAAATTCTCTGACTCTTCCATTTCTGGTCTTAAGTGGGCCTTGAAATCTGCTAAAGTAAAAAGGAAGATTTGCAAAGGGTTTGGGGGAGTGGGAGTTGTCCAGTTCTGTGGAGTACACCATTTATTTTTAAACCAGTTTCTCTAATTTTTTAACTACATAAAGAGTGCCTTCTAGAAGTAAGCCATGACAGCTGTAGAGACTATATAATGTAATATGGGAAAGAGCATGGGGTTCTGGGAACTTGGGATTTTGCGGACCATTTTCCAGGCATTTCTTAGCAGTTTATTAGCAAAGAAACAAAGTGCTAGACATGCATTGTTACGTATATGTCAGAATTGTAAGGATATTACTCAAAGTCTGTCTTCTAAAATACAGTATTTGGCATGTTCTTCCAACTAAAGAGCTCAACTGTGTTGATCACAAACCAAATCATACAGCATTCAAGAGAGAAACTGTGACTACATTAATTTCTAAAACTTAAGTCTTTTAAATGTTTTTTTTTTAATATATATTTTGCAGATTAAAGGATCAAAGGGACAGGTAACAAGGGCAGAAATTCTTCAAGAAGGCCTTCGGGAATTACTAAATGCACTGTTCTCTAATCCTGTGGACAGTAATTTGATATGTGCAGTGAAACTGCTGAAGGTGAGACAGTTTTAAAAGAAAAAAAAAAATCAAGTTTTTTAACCTTCCTACCTTTGGGAGCAGTGGGGGAAACTGCAAATGAGAAAGTGTTTATAGGGTTTTATGCATTACATCAGTGTAAGCTTTTTTCCCTTCGTACCATTATGAAATTGAGCCAATTAAAAAAGTGACATACTGCTCTAAAAGTAAAATGCGAGGCCATTTGTGTGCATACAGAACTGCAGCCAACACACAAAGCAGTAAGCAGTCTCTTTAGTTCCCCTTTCGCTGCTTCTGGTGTGCGAGAAAACTGTAACCAACTTGAATGAATTGTGGGGTTTGGGGTATGTTCTCTGTTCTGAAGGACACTCAGCAGTCAGGCTCTACCGCTTTTTGCAGCGAAAGGTTCTTGATATCAGTTGTCTCGTGCTGTATTGTCTGCATCATTGCTACTGTAAAAATATATATATTCCTCTTTCATGATGAAAACAAACCTCTTTGCTCTTAAGTTTTACTTTTTCTTAAAAAAAAAAGTTAGCCTTTGTGCAGGGAGAAACTTATCTTCATGAGCCATGGTTATACTCATAGTTGGGAAAACACAGTTTATTTTAGGAGTGAAGGTTAAAAGCTAAGGAGTATTTTTCAGGAGTTCTGTTTCTGTGTTTTTGTGGTTGGTTCGTTGGTTGTTTTTTCCTCATTCTTCCCCCTTCCTCCCACTCCACTATTTTTCAGACTCTTCGATTTTGAATTCCAGTTCCGGCAGCTCCTTTTGATACAGTAAATAGAGAATAGGGAGGAGAGGTTTTACATCTTCCAATTTAAACCCTTCATTTGAAGTTTGGATATTTAAGCAGGTTGCTTCATAGCAAGCGTGAGGTTGTCTTCAACAAGCACACTTACTCCTGTGGTCAATCCTTATGTTGGCAGTGCTTCCCTGAGGGAAGGCCCACTGAAGGACCTTTCAAAAAGGCAGTACACAAATCGGAAGCTTTCCAGGGCTGCTGGTTTTTTATAATCATTCTCCAAAGAAGATGGAGGTCTCACTATTTCTGTGGATATTCTTGGACTTCACGGCATCCATTCTAAAATAAAAGACAGTGATCTAAATTATTTTGACATGTTTGTAAATCTAAAAGGTGTTAGAGAACAGAGACTACTTTTTTTGAATGCAAGTGTTTTCTGATGTCTTATATTATCTACAAATGTTGGAGTACATCTGTAGCTAGATTGGGCTACCTCATGAAACCTTGGTTTCACTACTGAAGCAACAGATGTCTCCTGTTGTCTTTTCCATTTAATACAGTGATAGACACAGGTTTTTCACCTGTTTGCTTTGCAGTATGTTTATTTTTAATTAAACTTTCTTGGTGCTATTATGTAATTATCTAGGATCAAGGTAGGATCACAGTAGAAAACGGAATACTGAACAAGTGCAAAGATTTTGGTTTTATCTTTGCATTTTATTCCTTTGCATCATCAGGTGCCATTCCAGGCATTTTGGATCATGTAACATTTATGCTGAGTAGATCAGGAATTGCTAGTAACTTTGATCATAGTGGCAAACTAATTTTTTTTTATTTAACTCCTACTGTGCAATTATTGGGCAATGAAGTACCTATTCTTAACAGAAAAGGCTTTCATCCACAGCAGTTCTCGACAGTCTGCTGCTAAAGCGCTCTCAGCAGTAGCTTCAGCCTCACAGATTTTACATATTAAAATTCAGGCTGGCTTGGTCAGATAATTCTTGGTTCCTCTTCTGTATGACCAGATGAAATTCTCTGGCATGTCTGATGCTAGCTGAGTTGACTGAAGTGTTTCTAAAGTTTATTAAACTATTTGTTATTCTCAGGTGACTGGTGGCATCACCTGCAAAAATAAGGTCTCCTTTTTTTATAGCATGTACTTAAGTAAGATCTGACAAATGTCACTGAAGAGTTGTTTCAAAGTCATATTTCAAGACTGAAAGGACAGAAGTGGCTATGAACTTCTAGGTAACATAAACATCGGACATAGGGCTACCATACTGTCTGTAGTCTAAAATAAACTATTTACAAGGTCTGTTAATCTGTTTAGCAAAAAGATGTAGGCAGTTGGGAGCTTCAGCCCTCAGTAGTCACAAAATGCATCTAAGTGTTATGAATTGTTATAGAATCTCTTCTGTTGACAGTTTATTGAAGTTTTGTAATTTTCTTAAAAACAAAAAAAATAGTAATCCCTTGTCTTTAGTTGACAGGCTCAGTTTTAGAAGATGCCTGGAAAGAAAAAGGAAAGAATGATATGGAAGAAGTGATTCAAAGAATTGAAAATGTTGTGTTGGATGCAAACTGTAGCAGGTGAGAAGATAAATTTATGTGCAGTGTTTTGTGTTTATATTAAACAGAACACCTTAAAAATCTTCCAGAATAGTGAACACTTCCAAAACATTTAAAAACTTGGGTGACTGCCCATGTGAAAAAAAAAAAAAAAAAAAAATTTTTTTTACAGTTGAGGAAGGTAGGGAGCTTTGGGGGTTTTTCTCATGTTTTTATTTTATCTTTTAATAGAGATGCATGTTCCCCTCTAATGATTTTTTTAAACCTTTTAGGTCTTTAAGTCTTCCATAAGTGCTTTAGTCTCTAATATATATATATATACACACATAAAGAGACAATAGTGGTGATATCTCATATCTTATACTTTTAAATCTGAATTTAACCGTATTAAATACATGCAAACAGTATTAAATAGGTAATAGTATTAATTATATACACATCGCTATAAATGTAAAGGCAAAATGGAATATGCTTTGTACTGTGGTTTGCAGTCTGGAAAAAAAAAAGAGTGGTTGGCTAATGTATCCTGCTTCTCAGTTTGCTATCAACTGCGTGCCTGAGGCTATCTGATCCTGCTGTACTTCATCCTCAGTTTCTTGTACACTTACTAAAAAACCTGTAGAGGGTTCAGACACTGTGACCTGATTTCTTGCTACATGGAGGGAGGCCAACAGGTAGCTCATAGCATCTGTGGGTTGTAGTTGAGCTGCCCCCAGGGAGGATGAGGAAAATTTTCCTTCTGGAACTAGAGAAAATTGATAGTGCAAGCTGAGGCTTTAAAGACAACAGAAGCACAAACTTATTTTAATAGAGAAAACAACTGAAGATTTTATTAATTTATTCCTTAATGAAACTCTTCTCCATGGACTTGCTTAAAAGAAGAAAGCATTTTCTTTCATTTTAGGGATGAAACAGGTGGTGGTATTTAATGTATTTGGAGACATTACTTCTCACTGTTGACTGCAAAATTTCAGTGTGATTAAGAGGGCTGAAGTTAGGACCATGAAGATCATCTTCCTGTCTTCCCCAGTACTATCCTTTTATCAGAAAAGGATTTGTTCCTCAACTTGTGCTGCAGGTTTGGTATCTTGATAAAAACTATAGCAATTTCTGTTTCATATGGGCTCCTTACTTTACCACAGAGGAAATGGAGAGAGTGAGTATCTCATAATTGATACATAAAGCATCTAGACTTGCAGGGGGAAAAAAAATAACTCAAAATTATCTGCAAACTGGACCAAATTTTATCCTTTTTAGAGCTTGGGGGGGGGGGGCATTAACTATCTAGTATTTGCAAGATAAGAGAAGCCCATTTCTTGCTTAGCACAAAACATTCTAACTTTTGTAGTGCTTCTCTCTTTCAGAGATGTGAAACATATGCTTCTGAAACTAGTAGAACTGCGATCAAGTAACTGGGGTAGAGTTTATGGAACTTCTCCACGTACAGAAGCTACACCTGAAAATGACCCAAACTATTTTATGGTAAGAATGTATGGACACTTCAGTTCCTCAACGTGAAGTTAATTTGATTCATAGACAATCACATTGCTGAAAACTACAAACAGCTGTCTCTCTGAATGCATATAACTTTCTGTATAACTTTATTCTTAGAATGAGCCAACATTTTATACTTCTGATGGTGTTCCTTTCACTGCAGCAGATCCAGGTACGTCACAAGCTTAGTATACCTGTCTTCTCAATCATCTTTAAAAAGTTGTAGTTAATTTTATGTCCTGTTGGAGTACATAAAAAGTTGTTCTTCAAATGTCTGAAACTCGTACAACTTAAAAGACAAAATTATGTCTAAATCCCTGGCTTTGTGTAACACATGCCTTATCCTGCATTAAAAGAAGGTACGTTTGAAATGGAGAATATGTATTCGAGTTCATGTCGTTCAGAAGAATTTGTGCCATAGTCCTCAGCACTTGGTCTCTCCAGGAAGCCAGAAATCTTCAAGTTTTCTTTTGTTTGTACATTGTTAGTAGCAAAAGGGTTTGTTTCTTCCTTGATTTCTTTGTTTGCTGTAATCTGAGCACAGCGTGCCATGACATCATTTGAGGTAAGGACATCTGTGGCCACCCTTACAGTTCTCTGGGAAGATAGGTATCATTCTTAGAGGTCGATGTCCTGAGAAAACACTGTAGCAGGAGTTTTTTCTATAATGTGTTTCATGCCATTTATGGTTTCATTGAATAGCCTATTTTCAAACTGTATAGATGTATGTTAATTTAGAGGACTAGTCCTGTATATTACTCAGTCTCATTTTTACTTTGCCAGATTACCAAGAAAAATACCAAGAGCTGCTTGAAAGAGAGGATTTGTTTCCAGATTATGAAGAAAATGGAACAGACCTATCAGGACCTGGGGATCAGTATGTTTTCTTTTTTCAGTGATCTTTTTTTTTTTAATACTAGTTATTTTTTCTGCAGACTTAGGAATCCAATATTGACAAAAATTAAACTAAATAATGTAATTATTTAGCTCTACAATGGAAGTTATGTATTTGGGTGTAAGTTGGTCTGTAATCACAAAAGTTTGAAACATTTTATACTTACCCAACTGAGTAGGGCAATTAAATTTCAGATAGTTACGCACATGTACAAACATATTCTTTTCTGCATTAAAAAAAAATAAATTTGCAAACAAAATGAAACACCAGACCCTCCAGTGTTGGTAGTGAGGCAACCTGAATTCATTTGACTGATGTGCATACACATCCCAGCTAGAGATGATTACAAAATTATCAGAGTCTTTCAAAGGGAAGAGGTGGTTAAGTTTCTCTCTTCGGGATAAGTAGTATTCCCTCAATTAAATGGCTATTCAGTATTCCTGTAGAACCAAGAAAAGCAACCTAGTAGCAAAGGGGGAAGCAATAGATGGGAATGTAGTCTGACTTCCTGACACTGGTTTATAAGAATTGAATAGGAAACCAGCAAAAGAAATATGGTCTAAAATAAATTGCTGTGAGCTTTGTACTCATCTGGTTGAAAGAGGAGTTTCAGATCATGATTTGATACCGAAGAACATTTTGAGTGTTGTGTTTGTGATAAGAGTTCTGGCCTGGATTGATATTTTTGTTAGTAAATCAGAAAACTTTTAGACTGTCCCTAACCGAGGGGGGTGGCAAGAACTTTGGAAGATAAATTAGAGATGTCATCAGAAATCAACAAGCTCATACTATGTGAACCTCTGTCCACAGAATTAACAAATTAAATCCAAAATGGAGACAGCAGTTAAAAAACACAGTAAATCCAAAGAGTGACGTGGAAGACTTGAGTCAACCTTCATGCAAGGTGACTGCAGAACCTTCTTTGCTGAAGGCTTAAGAAAAGCTTAGACAAATGTATGCTGATCCTCTGTCAGCTGTTTCTCAAACTGACACCAGGGAGAAGGGCTCTCTATTGAGTCCCTTCTCAAGTCTACACTTCTACAAGAAAGAAGGAACAAATAAAATAAATACATAGACTGCTTCTTCAATGCATAATGCTGAAGAAAAAATACTTTCCGTATATGCTTCTGTGGCACTTTCTGTGGTGTTGTGTGAAACATACCATTTATGGCCTCTGTGCAAATAAGACAAGCCAATTCCCTTGTTTGGAACTAAGGCACAGAAGATAATAAACTAAGCACCTGAAACTAATGCACACTTTTTGAGAGTCAATAGCTGCTGACTCTTTTTTTTTTTTAAGACCATTTAGAATTAGGTACACTATCGTGTTCAAGCTACAACTCTTGTTGTCCTAGTTCATGGTGACGAACAGTCCAGCTGGACCTGGAGAAAACAAGAACACTCAAATTACTTCCCAATAACTTTAGGGAGAAAGAAAGCTGAAGTGATGCCCATAACTTCCCAGCTTTATTTTGAAACAGTCTGGTAGTCTCCACTCTCTGCAATACTTACTGTCATTAATGGGATCCTGTCTTTCCTGTGACCTGAGTAAGACAGATCTTTTCTGAAAGACTGTTTACCTTATAATAGAAGGTAATATAATGCAGATGCAATAGGGAGGTGAATTAAGGTTGCCTTCTTTCATATATCAACAAACAGGAATGCAGCTTTTCTATATAAATGTATTCTTTTGACTAGTGTGCAACCAAGACAGTTGATGCAGTATTTGAACCAGGATGTTGACCAACCAAAAATTATGCTAATATGAAGCTAATTATGTTTTTTACAACTAGAACAGTACAGATGTATTGTTAAATTTTGGAAAGCTTGGATTACATTATTGCATTTCTATCATCCTGGGAACTATTTCTGTCTTTTAAACTGTGGACAGCATAAAGTGATCTCAAATGGTGACAAACACTGTAGCTATTTGTATATACTGCATTGAGGTTTCTGTTTATTTGTTTTTCCTAGTACCCATGATTTTTTTACTCTTCATCTCCTTTAAGAAAATGTGATAGTTAACTGATATTTATAAAGCTCTGTTTTATTCTTGACATCTACATAAATGTGAAAATCTGTATGTAAACTTAGTATCTTTGGTGATTTTTTTTTTTTAGGTATTTTGATGACATTGATGATGAGATGGATCCAGAAATTGAAGAAGCATATGAAAAGTTCTGTCTAGAATCAGAACACAAGCAAAGACAGTGAGATGTTACACATTAATGTTAGTTTATTAAGCCACTTTAGGTATGGTTAGAATACAGGGGAACATAAAACATTTGTACCAAAATAAGGAACTTGAGTTTCTCAAAGCACTAAAGTTATACAATTTCCACTTTAACAGAATCTGCCAAAAATTGTAAACTTATGCCCTGTAACTTAAAATGTTGTGTATATATCATAGTTTATTTTATGTACAGGTATATGAACAATGTTTTGGCTGCAATAAAAATGATTTAAAAATTACCATAATTGAAATTAAAATTTAATGTGGAACTGTCCCATAAAACTTCACTTGAGGGAGAAAGGGGAAGAATAAATTGATCTAAATTTAATCGCTTGTTTGCTTGTTTTAGTATATATTGGGGTGGTTTTTTTCTGAAAAGAGTATGTTCCAAATACAGATTTTTTTTTTTTTCTTTTTCCCCCTCTAGATCACAATCATGAGAGGTGGTTTGTGAAGGCTTTGTTTTGTGTGGCATTTTTAATTTTGTTTATTTCCTTTTTCTTCACTTTCCAAAACCCATATGGGTGAGGTCAGGCTTTTCTTCCTGCAATAAACATGTTACATGCTAATATGTGAAAAAGCAACCAGTATTTTGGAAGTTGGGTGCTTTCAAGATCTTTGGTTCAGATAAGCTTATTTGCAACTTCTACAAGCAAAACCTATCCTTTAACTTGTTGTGTTCTTCCAGACTATACAAATATAGTTATGTTTTAACCATGATTCTCAAGAATATGTGCAGTGCTCAATTTTTTTTTTTCATTAATATATCTAACATGTCTAACCTTCTGGCAACCCTTGTAACTGTCTCCATTTTTCTAATTTTATGGAGTTTGATTTAATTTTGTAGTTGGAGTAAATTCATATATTTCATAAATGTTAACATTCTGAAACCAACTGCTCTTTTTTGACCCCATATAATCATGTTAGTTTTCCTGGGATACTCCATTGTTGTTGTTGCCAAACTCAGTTGTACTGTTTCCTGTTATCTGTTACTGGTTAGACTGAGTAGAACCCCTTACCAAAAACAAATGGAAATATTTCCCAAAAGTTCACTACTGTAAAGGACACGTGTTGTAAATATGCATGTAAATAATTCTGTTAATATTTCACTGTTACTTGTTTGGTTAAGTAACTTGGGCATCTGCTAATAGAGTGAGCACTGACTTCTGGATGTTTATTTAACATACTTATTTAGGTTGGAGTTTTGGAAAATAAAATTTAACTAGCTTTGTTTCCTTTGGTATAATTTCACTAGCTTATCTTTTTGGTTTTAAAAGAAGATTATTTTTTGGTCCTTCTATCTCCCCTTCACTTAATACTCCTTTTTTTTTTCTTTAAAGTACACAGTTGCAGAGTATTATCTTTTAATACTCATTGGACAAATAAAATCTATCAAAGAGCAATATGGTTATAAGAACTATATTAGCATTTAAAAGTCTCTAAACTAAAATCCAGAAACTAGAAAAGTGAAAATTAGATTAGATTATTTTCTCACATACCTTCTCTAATCTTGAGCCTGTTTTTCATACAAAACTTTTAATCCAAATACAGGTCAGACTTCCTGATGACTTTACAAGCAGCTGTCTTGTGGAAAACATATTTACTCAAAGTCCCAAGGAGCAAGCATTCATCTGTGCAATATAGTAAAGTAGTAGTGTCTTCAAGGGACTCCACATGTTTTATTTTTGCATCTTTTGTAGTGTCTCTTTTTCTGTAAAGTAGCTGTTGGACTCCACACGTATACCCTGTCAGCTTGTGGAGACAGTATGTCTTCCATGTAGGTAAGAAATATGCCAAGTTATCCTGTACAAAAATGTTGGGAACTAGAAATTGTATACATGAAGCAGTTCTGATCAATGTTTGCAAAATCAGCTTTGTCATCCACCAGAAATACTGAAAAATCATAAAGTGAGACCTTTGTTCAATGTATCAGAGAAGTTTGTGGCCTCTGCACGTAGGAAGCTTTGTAAGAGCTTGTGAGAGACTGAAAGAGTTACATATGTTGATGTCTCAAACATTGTGGTGAGGCAAGTTAATATCCGCATAGAGACAGTTTAAGGTCTTCGTAGCAACAAATGAGGGTCTGCATAGCATCACTGAGCCACAGGTCAGAAGCCGACTGGTGCAGAGCTGGGAGGCATGTCAGAGGGTCTGCAGTCCCACCTTCTGATGTGCCTTACAACCCACCACATACAGCCAGAGGTCATACAGGGTTCCTTTGGGGAAGGGGCTCACAATCACCTGAAAGACCCCTCGCAACCTCCCCCAACAATGGTGCCAGCGCAGAAGATGAAGAACATTCTGGAACAAAAATTATGTAAGTCCTCAAGGGGGCGGGATTGAGAGGCGGGAACTGGTCTATAAAAGACACAGCTGAGGAGCCACACGCGTGTGCCCATCGCCAGAGGATTGCCACGTTTACCACTGACATTGTGGGATCCAAGGGTGGTGATATCTCTCTCTCTCCCCCCTCCTCCTCTTTTTTTCCTTTCTTCTTTTTAAGTATTCCAGTTAGGACCCACATTGCCTCCCATTACACTTTCCTAGTTCAGGTTGCCTACTGTTAACACTTACCGAGTTCAGGTTGGTGTTTACCATCAATAAAGTGTTTAATTGATTGCTTGGTGTCGTTTCACCTTAATTTAGCCCAAGGGAATCACAGAACCACCACGACCCTCCCTGGGCAGCCCAGTCTGGATTGTGATATAAATCAGCATCACAGACAAGAATTCCCTTGCCGGTGCTAAAGCAATTGTTGGGACCAGGCCTTTACCACAGCCCCTGTCTGAGAGGAGTCATACACAAGGGAAGACAGTCCCCAGAGGGCTAACAAGGGATCTGGTCCCTATAATTGTATACTCATTATGGCCTCCCTGGGAGGTCCGGCTGTAGATTGTACCCCTCTCATGGAAAGATTAGAGGGCTGTAACACCTGACCTCCCCCTGGTATGACTTGGGCCTGTAATAATTGGCATGATCCACAAGTAGTAGCAGACAGAATCTCCACCTTGGCTAAGGAATGGAGATTGAGGCTTGGAAAGGGGAAAGCATTGGTATGTGTGGTTTTAGGAGCTGCCCTGGTGGCAGCACAGCAGGATAAACATACAACAAGCAGAAGGGGAGGCAATAAAATCCCTTCAAGATCTGGGGAAGGCTTTACAGGAACAATTAGAAAACAAAACGAGAAGTCCCTCCAATGAGCTTACCGCCGAGTGGATGACTAACTAAAGTCTACATGCTGCTTTGGAGAGGGAGAGAATACTAAGGGAGCAATTAGATGAAACCTGTTCCCAAATCAGCGTAGACGGTATGGATGCAAACTCTGGTAGGGGAAAGACCCTCTTAAAGACCTAGAGATGTATTCCTCTGGAAGGAAGGAAGCCAAAATGCGACCTCCAATTAAGACCAAGACTACAAATGGTGGTCAAGGAGCAGCTCAACAAGTTACCCCCATACTATTCCCTATTCCCCTACTGATTTGGCTAAAATTCAGGGAAAATATTCCCAGGGACCCCAAGAAATGGAAACCAAATATGTATGGACAGTAACTCTTACTGGGGGTGACCATATCTTGCTGAGTGAGGATGAGGCAAGAGGATATTGGGGACTGGGGGTTATTATAACTACAAATGATAATAGAGAGCCCTGGTCCCTGACCCAGAGAGTCATATATTGGGCAGGTAAATTAGATCCCATGGGAAGGGGAGACCTCTTCTCAATTAAAATGCATATGGCAGACCACATTTTAGAGAGCTTACAGAAAACTGCGTGTCTCCAGTTGATGCATAATCGATTACTGGTTCTGCAGCAGCCCTCCCCCATGCAATATGTGGCAGACCCCAAAAGGTTTCATCCCCTTCTATGGGGACTACCTGATGCCTTGAAATTATACACAGTACAACTACAAGATCAGTTGAGAACACCCCAACCCCGGCAAAGGGGAGATCCCCCAGAGATGACGTGGGGGGAAGTAGTACAGGAGTTAATTAATTAATGCAATTTACTGGCCAGGGGGAGATCAAATTCAAGGCAGATCTTAGGAAAGTGGAAGAGAATGGGGAAACAAAAGCTCCCCCGCACAATCTTCAAACCCCCCCCCCCAACAAGGCTGATGTGAATCCCCGATAATAGAAGATATACATTATGGGCAGAGGGCATCTCAAAAGGAATCCCCCAGGAGGTGACAGACAGGTTACCCACTCCAAGTTGGAAAATGTGATGAGAGGATGGGAATAAAGGGAACCCCATCCCCCTCAAAACCCAAGGACCTTTCCCTCCAATCCCGGGAACACGGAATGGTAACCTCATCTGGTCCCCTGGAGACTGTGTTGATTGATTTAAGTGTCCCCAAGTCAGGAAACCCCCTCCACCATCCCCAATAAACGAGCCAGGGGATGGTGGGTGGACCTACTTGAGAAGGCTCATGGAAAGTGACAAAGGAGACTTGCTGATTACCTTTCCCCTAGGCCCCTTTAAAACTCCAGTCACATTTTTGGTGGACACAGGAGCCCAGGTGTCAGCTCTCCAGATGGACGTTGCCAACTGCAACAGAATCGTTGCTGACAAGAAACAAAACCGGGTCACAGATGTTTTTGGGAATTCTAAGTCACAGCCTACGGCCCGAGTCAAGTGCTGGCTGCCAGGAGATACATCCCTGGTTGAAGTCACAATGATAATAGGCTCATTGCCCACAAAAATTTTAGGACTGGATTTATTGAAGGGGAAAGCGTGGGTAGACTCAAAGGGAAGGGAATGGAAATTTGGACTCCCTGTGGCTTCAGCAAGACTTTTACAGTCAGCGCCTGCCCTTCCTCCTTCTAAAATAACTAATGTAAAACTCTATGCCTTATCATAGGGGCAAGGGAGGGTATCATCCCTGTAATAACCAAGCTGTGGGAAAAGGGAATAATTATCCTAACTCACTCACCTTATAACTCTCCGGTCTGGCCAGTCTGTAAACCCACTGGAAAGTGGTGAATGACAACCATCGGCGCCTAAATGCTAACATAGGCCCCTTGACTGCTGCCATGCCTAACATGGCCGAGCTGATTGCTACTATACAAGAACAAGCCCATGTGATTTTAGCAACAATTGGTGTAAAAGACATGATTTTATGGTTCCCTTGCAGGAAGCAGATCGTTTTGCTTTTAGCTGGGAAGGGGTGCAGTTTACTTTTACACGCCTTCCTCAGGGATACTGCCATTCACCGACCATCGCCCACTACGCACTGGCGCAGAAGCTTCCCGTGTTATGCCTGAGAAGGGAGTTAAGGTAAATCAATATATTTATGATACACTGATTGGCAGCCCTGATACCAACATAGTGAGACAGACCCAAACAAAAAT